AGGAGGAACTTCTTCATGCACTGCATGCAGGACTCTAGCCATCAGTTCATTACATAACTCGGGATTCAGAGAGCAATCGGTTTCGATACCATTATAAGTAGCGGACGAACGGCCAACTCGTGGCGATGGGATCAGTCCCTGACGCTTCTCCATAGCATAAGACCTCCCTATCCTTTGGGATCATTTGCAACACATTTACAAAATTAATTGTTTGCCATTTAATTGGGATTAACAGCAACTGTATTAGGGATTAACAAACCGTGGCAGCGGTAGTAACTGTCTCTTCTCATAGTCCCCATGAGTTGAGTCCCAACCGTAGGCAACACTATATCCTATTAGATATTAAATGTAAGTTAATTTTAAATGTTCTCACATTTTCATTACATTAATTAAATTACTTCTAAATAAAGTGTTTTTATAAATGGTTTAGTCTATAAATTTGTTACACCGTATGAAATACAAACAGTTATATGCTTTCAAATTGTATTTATTTGAAAATAAATATTAATGACTTATTAAATTTTTTTGTTTGAAAAACTAAATATTTTAAATACAGCTATTTAAATGAATACTTTATATATTGTTAAAAGAGCTGAAAATTATAAATTTATTAAAAATTGAAATACAAAATAATTATTTATTATATATTTCTCATTGAATTTATAAAATCATATCATTTTAAGCAAGCAATTTAATTCAGCTCTAAGTCCCAAATATACTATAACTCGGATCATACAGTATTTAATATATGATTAGATATAAAAGACTTTAATAAGATCTCAGTTATTATATCAAACATTAGTGTATCAATCTTATCATTAATAAAATCAGAAAATAAATTATATTTATAAAATTAAATGTAAAACTAATGTAATAATTGTTAAAATAAATTGCTGTATTGTATAACATTATTAGTCAATCTATTTTTAAAATATTTAGTTTTATTTCTACACAAACTTTTAGACTACATTTAAAATCTAATTAATAAAGTCGTTTCATAGAAAAGACAATTGAAACATAGGTTTTATGACAAACACTCACTAAATGTTAAAAAATTAAAAATAATTGATAAATTCATGAATTATAGGAATAATTAAAATCAAAACACATTAAACACATCACATATCATACCCGCGAATAAAAGAGACAAATACAACAAATCCATTAAAAATATGTATTTATACAAAGTTGCGATGAATTAAATTTAAAATNAGTCCCGGTGAATGACCGGAGGCTGCGATTCGTGGAGATATTGTACACATTCTAAGATTTCCCGAAATATTTCACATAAAATAAAATACTCGTAACAATTGAGTGGTTCCAAGAATTTTCTGCCAAACACTCTTTGTTTATCTTTGAGTACAGACCGCAGTGTTTGCGGACAATACTCCATAAGGATGTATAGGTGTTGCACTTCACACCACGACTTATAATATTTGATTAGAAAATTTGAACTTAGATTTGACAGAATATTCACATCGTCTATGATTTCCACAATGCCTTCTAATTCAATTTATAAATTTTATAATAATTTAATTTCTTTTTTAAAAAATTTAAATGTACAGTAAAATATCATCTGTGTGAAGTAGAATTTGTATGAACCAAACCAAAAATCAGCACCTCATAGACCTAATGTTTAAAAAGTATCATATGTGTGAACCAAATGAAGTTTACTTCACACAAATGGTCTTTTACTGTACTACAAATTTTAAATTTGTAATATAAATTTTATATTTAAATTATTTATAATTATAACAAATATAATATATTTACCTTCAATTGGTATTCTTTTAACGGCATATACTTTATCATCCAATTTATGTTTTACTTTAAATACTCTCCCAAAAGCACCGGAACTTAAGGTTACCATCTCGTCGAATGTATTTTTATAATAACCATCGACACAATTATTAATATCACATAAGTACACATCAGTAATATTTAATTTACATAATAAAAAGTCATAGAAAAATTTATTATCATTAGATTTTAAAGCATTTAACACTGCATTCAACTCCTTATCGTTAGCCGTAATTACATTTTTATCAACAGACCATTCGTCGTACTTATCGAGTATTAGACTACTGGTCGGCCTATTAATGGCTTTAGGCTCAAGCATTGATTCAATGAATTCACCGGTTGTATTAATTTTTGACATAAATGTTGAGAAATTATTTTTTTCTAAAGCACTAAAATATTGTAATTAAAAATGAATTAATATTATGTATTATAAAACAGTAATTTAACTAGTTAACTAGTGTTATACTTTATGTTATACATAACTTCTGTACAAATAATAACTAAATGAAAGATAAACCAGATTCTGGTCAGTTTATGACAAACTTAACTTACTTCAAGTCTGCATCAAATAAGTGAGATGCAATTACTCCGAGACTATAAATGTCTGCTTTAATGCTATATTGTCTGGAAGTTATGACTTCAATGGCCATGTATTGTGGGGTTCCTGTGCCCTGCGTGTGGTCCATGGATGGACTCACGTGATCGGTGGCCAAACCAAAGTCACACAACTTTATGTGCATATTATTGGGTGAAATCAATACATTCTCTGGTTTTAAGTCCCGGTGAATGACCGGAGGATCCATATCGTGAAGATATTGCAGACATTTCAAGAGTTCCTGAAGTATTTCACAAGAAATAAAATACTCGTAATAATCCATTGGTTCCGATAATTTTCTGCCAAAGATATTATGTTTTGCTTTAAGTACAGATCCGAGTGTTTGCGGGCAGTACTCCATCTGAATGTAAATGTGTTTGCTTTCAGACCAGCAATTGTGATATTTGACCACATATTGTGAATTATTCTGCCAAAGATATTATGTTTTGCTTTAAGTACAGATCCGAGTGTTTGCGGGCAGTACTCCATCTGAATGTAAATGTGTTTGCTTTCAGACCAGCAATTGTGATATTTGACCACATATTGTGAATTCAATTTAATTAACATTTCCACTTCATTTAGCACTCGCTTCATCTCTTCTCTCTTATCTAAAATTTCATTAAAATTATTTTATTTTATTTATTTACAAATTAAGTACATATACTGTAATGTTAGTAACGGAAACTTACCAACAGTCTTTGCAATTGAAAGTCTTTTAACCGCATATATCTTATCATTTAATTTATGCTCTACTTTAAATACAGTGCCGAAAGCACCCGAACCTATAGTCAACAATTGGGTAAATTCACTTTCAAAATGACCATCAATTGACTTATCGTTTAAATTCTTGGCATTTAATTGTCTCAAATCAATTGTATTATAAGTAAATTGGTATTCAGTGGCGTAAAAGTCAACAAAACTATCATAATCTGTTTCAATCAATTTGTGTTGTTTTGATATTTTGTATATTTTATCATTTATTAAAACACTTATTAAATCATTAAAACATTTATTAAAATATGAATCAAATTTTCGTAAATCATTGAAAATATGTGTCAATAGTATTTGTTTCGGTATTTTGTATATTGTTTTACTACTATTTACAAAAGATTTGCCACAAAAGTATATAAAACCATTGAATGTCAGAAAATATGTGCCATTAGTACTGCGTGTGATTGATTTTACATCAGTTATGGTTGATATCAATTGGGGTTTAGATATTATTTTATCGTTTATATTGTGTCCCAATTGATGACAACTATTGTCGCCCCAACTGAAGACATGTGCATCAGATGTGATGGCAAATGACGAATAATTATTACAATAAATGGATTGTATTTTATAATTGTTTGTAAATGTTATCTCAATTGGTGTATAAATATATTCACTATTATCTCTGCAACCAATTTGAGCCCATTTATTGTTACCCCAGGCATAGACCCGGCCCTCACGGGTCAGGGCAAGTGTGTGAAGAGCACCGCAATTGATTTCTACAATATTTTTATCATCAAAATATGGTATTACCTCTAGTTTCAAGGCAGCTTGGTTCATTTCAATATTCCTTGCCAATTGACCACATTCATTGTTACCCCAACTATATATCCTATGATTGTTAGTCATCGCTAACACAAAATCCAATCCATTAACAAAGTATTGTATGTTTTGATGACATAATTGTGGTATTATTTCTGGTGATAGTATAGGAGTCTTGTGTCCAAAACCCAGACATCCGTTATTATTATTTCCGATGCCATAAACATTATCATCGAGTGTTACAAACAATACATTTTCCGTGTCATACAAAACATGTAATTTTGTAATATTTTCTTTGATGTCAATCATAATGTCGTCACATATCGTTATTTTCTCTAATAATTCACTCATTTTTATTTAAATATTATAATTAATTTCTATTTACATGAAATATATAAAACATGTAATTTTGTAATATTTTCTTTGATGTCAATCATAATGTCGTCACATATCGTTATTTTCTCTAATAATTCACTCATTTTTATTTAAATATTATAATTAATTTCTATTTACATGAAATATATCATAAAAATACAAAACATAAGTTTTAAAATATATGAATACTTTTTTAAATATTATATGAAATATTTGTTTAAATATAAATATAAAGATTTACGTATTTAATAAAACACAACCTTTGGATAGCTATTGTCTTAATCTTAGAGAACCATTGGAAACACAGTCTTTATGCTTAAGAATTTCATTGAATACATGATAATAACTATAGTTGAATGCATTAACTCTATCATAAAGTATAAAATACATAATATTAATAAGGTATACGTTTATGTATAATTATTTTTATCTTCATAAGGTTTTCAGTGAACAATTTATAATTTTGTCTACAATTACGGTAATTTTTTTTTATTTCATAATTATTATAAATGTTGTAAATATAATTCACTTCAAACGTTTTTACCTGTAAACTATTTGCAATGTATTTAGATTTATACATCTATTTAAAGACTATACGGCAGGTTTATAGTTAGACCTTTTTCTCAAACATTTATTAGCCTTTTATGACAAACATATTGAACAGGAGGTGAATTGATCCACAAATAAATTTGTAAAACTGAATAAATTATTCAACAAATTAAATGAATAAAATTTAAATACAGATTTTATGATAACTTTAGAGCTAAAAAGAGGCTATTTATGGAGTTTATTGAATGAATCGACGGATAACTATACCAAACATATCTCACATATTATACAAGAGAGTATTGTATTGTATGGTGTATTTGGTTATAACGTTTGGCACAATCGACTCGATATTATGCCATTAAGTATTAGATTTTTTCTGTTTTTGATAAGAAAACAGTGGTTAACAGCGGAGTCTGTAATCCCATCACATCTTTTGAATTACAGATTCACGAAATTAGGAGAAAATAGCAGTGAATGAGAAGAAGTGAAATGTAAGCGTAATTCTGTTGTCAAGAATATACTGTTATATACCGAATATATTGTGATGTGAAATGCATGTATTGTTTGACTTTTCATTACATATTGCATTACAGGACTAAATTCATTTCATCCCGTAATCCCTTTGTGGTCAATGAGGGCCCACTGTTTGCCTCATACGACAGATTTATTTTCATTTATACTCTCATTAATCCTTTTTTGGCAAAAGTTATTATTGAACGCAAAACAACACATCAAAAAAATACACCTACAGAAGGCTTTAATGCCACAGAAAAGCATAGGCTATACCCCTCTGACTTCAGACCACATAATATTATATAAAAAGTGACTTTTCTTCGGATATCTTCACTTACTTCTGGTCGACCATCGAAGACAAGTCGTCGATAACAAAGTCTCTCATTTTTCCAGTAGTTTGTGATCTTATAGTTCTGTTCGTTTAATGAAGTGTTTTATTTAATTCACATTTATATTATAGTTAGGATTCATTTATTTTAAATTTAATTCATCGCAACTTTGTATAAATACATATTTTTAATGGATTTGTTGTATTTGTCTCTTTTATTCGCGGGTATGATATGTGATGTGTTTAATGTGTTTTGATTTTAATTATTCCTATAATTCATGAATTTATCAATTATTTTTAATTTTTAAACATTTAGTGAGTGTTTTTCATAAAACCTATGTTTCAATTGTCTTTCCTATTTAACGACTTTATTAATTAGGTTTTAAATGTAGTCTAAAAGTTTGTGTAGAAATAAAAACTAAATATAGATATTTTTAAAATAGATTGACTAATAATTTTATACAATACAGCAATTTATTTTAACAATTATTACATTAATTTTACATTTTAAATTACATTAAATATAATTTATTTTCTGATTTTATTAATGATAAAATTAATACATTAATGTTTGATATAATAACTAAGAACTTATTAAAGTCTTTTATAGCATAATCCCATTATAAATACTTTATAATAATATAACTTTGATCCAAGTTATAGTATATCTGGGACTTAGAGCTGAATTAAATTGCTTGCTTAAAATGATATGATTTTATAAATTATTTATAAATTTAATGAAAAATATATAATAAATAATTATTTTATATTTCAATTTTTAATAAATTTGTAATTTTCCGCTCTTTTAATAATATATAAAGTATGTAAAGTATTTATTTAAATATCTGTATTTAAAATATTTAGTTTTTCAAACAATTTATTCAATAATTCATGAAATATTGGTTTTCAAATAAATATAATTTGAAAGCATGAAACTGTTTGTATTTCATATGGTGTAACAAATTTATAGACTAAACCATTTATAAAAACACTTTATTTAGAAGTAATTTAATTAATGTAATGAAAATGTGAGAACATTTGAAATTAACTTACATTTAATATCTAATAGGATATAGTGTTGCCTACGGTTGGGACTCAACTCATGGGGACTATGAGAAGAGACAGTTACTACCGCTGCCCCGGTTTGTTAATCCCTAATACAGTTGCTGTTAATCCCAATTAATGGGCAAAACAATCAATTTTGTAAAATGTGTTGCAAATGACCCCAAAGGATAGGGAGGTCTTATGCTATGGAGAAGCGTCAGGGACTGATCCCATCGCCACGAGTGGGCCGTTCGTCCGCTACTTATAATGGTATCGAAACCGATTGCTCTCTGAATCCCGAGTTATGTAATGAACTGATGGCTAGAGTCCTGCATGCAGTGCATGAAGAAGTTCCTCCTGTCCTAAGAATAGCCTCTTTGGCGGCAATGCGTCCAAAGAAGTCCTTCACTGAAGACTATTCTGATATGAATGCCGACGACTTTGAATTGACCAAAACGTTGCGCTCAAATCCATGGGATTTCGACGTTAATCCGTACTTCTTTGAGCGAAACGCCCGCCAATTGATTCCGGCCCCCAGAGTCGGCCGATCTGTCGCCTCAACCAATACTCATACAAATCAAATGCAATTACTTTCAGGTTATAATAGCGCCGATGACGACGATGTGGTCGATCCCATCGATTTGCAATTGAGGGCCGCATTCATACCACGTCTCGGGAAGCGAACCACTCATAAGACATCTTACGATCAATACAGCGATTCCGCGGACGATATGTTCAAAAGAGCGGCCGCTTTTACACCACGTATAGGAAGGGCCGCATTCACGCCCAGAATCGGCAAAAAGGCATCGTTTACGCCCAGAATTGGTCGCTCGGCCGGCACTGCCGGCGCCGACAAACCATTTTAAGTAATCATTACGTGAAACAATGTATTCACTGAATTTAAAATACAATTTAAAGCAAATAATACTAATACTCTATTTACCAATAATATATGGATTTGAAGTTATATTTTATCCAATTATATGTTCAAAATTCAATTCAATACACTTTATAATGAAACCATTGATGTAATGAAACTCGTTATTACATATAGATTAACGAATAAAAATATATTTAAGAATTAATTCTTAAAAGTTTAATTATTAATTAATTATTTTAAATAATTTATTTATTTATTAATTATTTTAAATAATTTATTTATTTAAATTATTTTACTACAAATCAAATGCTAATAACTTTATTGTTTTATTTTTCAATTTTAGAAAAATATTTGTTATTTTAAAAACAACTTAATTAAGTGCTAAACACTTAAACTTCTATTGAATTATGCATTATATTACTATTAAACCAAGTATTGACATTAATTGTAACCTATTGTTTGAAATGCATGTTCACTAAGCAAACGATTGAACAAAATTATATTTAGCCTTTTATCTAAACATATTAAGATGCCTATNATCTTATTTTGTGGACTTTCAAAGTAATTGCCGTTTTTGTATAAACAACACATCTATGGGCTTAATAATAATTTCAAGTGTTATTTTTCTATCATATTCACTAATGAATTGCACTTATTGTGTAATTACTTTTTAAAATACACTATATTTTGAAACATACATTATTACCTTCATTGTTAAACAGTAACATTCTGGTATTTTTATATTTATGGCTAAACGAATTGAATCAATTGGAGGCCTAGTTTCACATTCAGACCCAGTCTATCAATTCACGGCATTCATTGCTTATCAAAAATGGACTCAAAATTAGACAAATCAATGAGATGTTGGAGAAGCTGAGGACAGATCACTTGACTCGACCATCAGTTGGACTTTATTACAGCCCAACGAATTGGAACAGCTCTTAGCGACCATTGAGTTCAACAAATGGAGTGAAACAGTAATAACGCGGTAAACATCAAAAGAGAGTTCACATACTCTTTGGTCCAAACGGTTCGCAATGACATCTCAATGGCATCGGAACCGACTTAAAGGTATTCAAGAATTACAATATTCTTTGCCAACTATTCGCTAATTTTATATTATTTTTGAACACAATTTAATCATTGAATGAAATGAAAGGCCAATCAGGACTCGAGCGATCATTTGACGACAACTCTTAACATTTCAATAGAGTTCTGCTTATCATTTACTTCAGAAGATTGTATCGATTCCATCAACACATCAATTGCTTTGTCTTCACCTCAACTTTTGAAACAGTTGTTGACACAAAAATAATGTATATAAATGTGGAGCAAAATATCAGTAATTAAACAGCCAATTGATTAAAAATTAACAAATAGTTGTATTACAAATCCAATACCGATACTGTATTGCACACAAGCAAATGAAACAATAACTACCACTTCAATGACGACTGTATGCCATCGACACAAATAGACACAGCAATGAGAACATTAAATCAAGTTTATCAACCACTCAATTATATTTCACCATGATAACTTATTTTACCCTTTAATTATTAGATTATTATTAGGATAAATATTAGTAGTGCTCTCACCCAATATGGGACAGACTATAGTCTTGGGTTAGTTTTGAAATCATCAATATTCCTACACTTGTAGTTGGCTTATAAGTTAAGGCACAGTATTTATGCTAATAATCACGAATTCATTTTCACTCAATTTCTTTATTTAGATTAATGCCTGAAATGTGAATATTTTTTGTGCTAACCTTAAAGACATTAAAATGTCATTTTACTATACTTAAATTTATTCAGATTTAAAGACTTATTTTTGTTTAATTTAAAGTTATATTTCGCAACCTGTCGTAAAACCATTTAGTGTTATAAAACAATTAGTTAATAGAATAAAGATTAAAATTAATCTACACAAAAAAATTATTTATATTTACTGTTAACTAACTTTTTAAATCACTTATTAATAGAACTTAATTAGTTATGATATTATTATTTATAAATAAATAGTATTTGTAAAATTAACCTGAATATTTACATAGTTGCAGAGGTCTTTGTTCTTATTGTAACTTTTAAATAGTAATTTAACACTTATATTGGCGATTGAGTTGACTATTGATGCCATTAATTGGATTCAAAAGTTATGTTTTATGATAGACTTAATTGAAAAAACAG